ACAAGGAAGGCGTCTTTTTCCCGCAGTTATCCAGTAAGAAATCACCCAAAGAGTCACTTTTAGGATCTTTCTCCGGATACACTTAAAGCTCTCGATTGGATGCTGCAGAATATCACAAAGCTGGCAGAACAAGGCGATGAGTCACTCAAGAAGTAGGAAATGAATTTCTCCCATTAGGGCTTCTATCCCCAACGATCTCCTTTTCAGAGAATTCAGTTTGGACGCAGACAATAATTCCAACACAGGATTCCCAGTTCCTAGCGAGGTTTATCTTCACTATATGCATCTGTACTAAATCTTTTTGGAATTTTTGTTTTAAGCTCTTCCCAACAGACGAGGATGCGGAAATCGTGAAGCCCGTGAAGCGTACGAAGTCGAGGAAAGGTGGAAAGAAGGTACGTGACCTAGGCCACTGAAAACCTTCATATTTCTCTTTTTTTCAAGAGCCTTGTATTCAATTGGATCTAGAAAATATAGAGGTTTTTCTCCGGGGTTGTGATTGTGGGTCAGAAAGGCCGTGGAGCTTCGTGCTCCCACATGCGGAGCTTAAGACACCTTCTCTCACTGGGCAGTTGGTAAGGATGCTTGTGTTTCTTACGATCATAAGTGGAGTTTTCTGCGGAGTTCTGAGTTTCTATGCAAATTTGCCATTAAAACTTGCACCTGTAGGAGATAAAATACTTGGGGGCGTTGGCCTGTTATTACGTATACGGTATATGTAGCATATAGGAAGGTGTCATTGAGGTTTTCTTCAGCTTGGTTGATCACCCTTTTTAAGATGCGATTAACCCATCATTCTGATGAACTATGACTTTTTCTTGAAATGCATCTGGTTTTTCATATTTCCCACCTTTTTCCGAAGTATAAATGTTGGTTTATCTAATCAGCAAAAGCAAATGGTCGATGGTTCTGAAAAACTTTTCAAAGCATCACCTAATAATTGAAAGAAAATTTTCAGTCAAAGAAACTTCGGAAGGGTATGTCAAAGCTGAGAAAAGGTGGTCGTGGACCGCAGAGTTTGGAGCTTCACTCTGGAGAGTTTAAACCAGTGGAGAAACGCAAGAAGAAGAGTGTGAGTCTAGAATTCATTATTTTATTTATGGTCAACCCCAGTGACTATAAATAACGTATGTTTCAATCTGAATAGATGATTGAAAATCGATAGTAATGCTACATCCCCCTCTAATCTGTTTCGATTTTTGTGAATTAGTAATTCGAAAAGAATTACCTCCGTGTTGTGGCAGTGAATTAAAAAAAGAAACTGTTTTGGTGCGATGAATCCCATCCGAGGGATGCGCCCCCGCATTCGACTTACATTCAGGATCGTAGTGGCATTTAAAATGCGTATGTGGCTTATACAATGACTTGCTGTGGCCAGCCGATGTACAAGTCAGTGCTTCTATCCTCCCAGACGAGTCTGGTGCAAATTAACCGACCCCGGAGGGAAGGAAGGTTCGGTTGGCTTAGGCGGATATTGTTCCGAGATTCAAACCCGTGACCATGCGTGTCTGATAGTGCGCCACTTGCCACTACACAACCTCCACCCTAGTACTCAGATCAAATCAATGCTATAACAACTTTAGAAGCACATTTTATTCTCTCTAAGAACCTGACTAACCATAAAATATATTAAATAATATAGAAAAAGATCTAATCCGAATTCGACAGCATAAAGATGCTTAAATTTGTTCAGTAAGACAGGATTGCGCCATGTATTTGTTACTCATCCAAAAACCATAGAAAAATCAGCGTTATGTTACAAAATGATTAAGTTTTCTGTCTCCTTAGTAGCTGAACAAATGATTGTACTCTAATTGACTAATTATTTCGTTCCTTGTTCAGACGGTGATACCATCGTGAAGGCAGTTCTGTAAAGCTTGCCGTTTTTCGAGGTAAGGGCCGGATTGAAATGGAAAAATGGATATGTCAAAGCAGGGCTGGAATAGCGCCATGTAGCGTCACCATCCCATCACACTATAGTTCGGGTATTAAATCTCGTACTAATATTCACCTTGACTGGCCAACTTGGTCTTCTACCCGTCCTAAATCGGTTCAGCTGCTATAAGATTCGTTCGGAAGAGAAATTAACAATCTATAGGTTAGTATTTCATTGTACAGACCGAATAAGTGTAAAGTCAAGCCCCAGCCTTGGAAAGGACAGACTCTAAGAATTCGTTCAACACTGAAATTTTTTTCCTAACTTGTCATGGAGAATTCTCTTCTGAGCCATCCTGTTAAGAAGAACAACAACTTACACTGACACCTAAAAACTGAACTGATGAAGTTGTATTGATTGAAGCTTTTTAGAATTACAGGTAACCTGAATTGTTACAGTTTCCAAAGTTCCGCAGTCGAGTCACAAATAACCTTCGAGCCCGCTCATTCGGCTTCCGGACTGTGATCGATGAGAAGCCTAGTAGTGTGGAGGTGAGTGCACAGGTTGACGGATATGGGCCCATCTGATGTACTTGGAATTAATTAAATGGTTTAGTTGACAGTTGACATCGTTCTGTAGGTTGATTGATGAACTTAGTGGGTAAGTTGGTGAGGAATCTGCTTCGACCATGAGCTGCCAACGGTTTTTTATAATTAATTTCGAGAGTATCGGACTCTTTATTCCAGGAAAGAAAAGAATAAGAAACCTTTTTGGGAATAATACACCTTTCCGTTGTTTACCCTTGAACTAGCATGATTTTTTCCCCGCCATCGATCATCTACCCCGATAAAACGTGCTCCTCTTCTATTTCCGCTTTCAACTCTATACGAAAGTGGGTAGGGAATGCATTGCGTGACATACACCGGTATAAAGAGTACTCTGTTGGCTCACATGGCAACATTTTCAGAATACTGGAACAGTTGATGCTGACGGAAAGTTCGTTAATCCATCTACCCTAATAGAAGAGATTGCAAGGCTCGAGGTAAATCATCCTTCATTGACTTGAATGATATTGTCAACTGGGGGTACTGCCTGAAAGCTCACACCTAAGTTAATCTACCTCTCTAATTAGACAATAAACAAACCGTTGAACAGTTAACACAAGCTTTTTAGCAAAACAGTAAACATGTTGAATGAAGAGAACTGACCACATAAACGGTGGCTGTGGGAAGGAGGAAAAAGCGGGGACAGGGAGGGATGAGAGGGCGGGTGTGGGCAAATACCGCTCTCAAGCTGAGCATGGGCTCTATCTACTATCCCCTCGCCAGCTATCAAAGTTGTCCGCGCGGCAATCGCGAAATTGACTTTACCTCTTGTTGATACTTGTCAACGGCTGCCTAGACAATCGAGCGCTATGAAAAGAACAAGTATTAACGTGTGAAGCTATTCGCAAAGTACTAATCTTCTGCCGCGTCATTTGTCGCACGCGACTCTGGGTATGGTAAACGTCCGTTCCGCGCGTTAGTCGAAACTAGGTCACCCCACCCCCTTCCCCCCCCCCTCTTCAGGCGCGTCCCAGCCCTCTGCGACCTCGAGATAGCATTACAGTATCCCACGTGTCGGTGGTGCGAACGATTCGGGCTAGTCCATGTGACTTGTGCAATGGAAGGGTGGCAGCATCTTGTTCACCGAAGCCGTTTGAGAGAGTGACAGAGTGTCGACTATTGTACAGTTCACAGCACCGTACACCGCACTGCTCGTGTGCTCCGTGAACATCATTGGTAGAGAGACCAAGAGAACCGGCGCCCGCCTCTCTATTGTTTTCCCTGAGGTAATCTTTTCCTGTTTGTCCTTTCTCACTCAGTGATGTTCACTAATACGAACAGTAACAGATAGGGTACTGGCCTTGAGTAGTTGCAATCGAGGGGCTCAACGGCCGAGTCCACACTCCATATAATGGACTCTGCAGGTGAGCCGAGACCACGCCCACCCATGAGCCATGAATAGAAGATGCAAGAGCGACTAAAAATGCGGCCGTCCCACATTTCTGGCCTCGTGGGTGACTCGACACCCTGTTGTCCATTTTCTCGAGGATGATTTCTGCGCATTAGGGAGACTTTGCGTTGTTACCAGTAGTTCGTCCACTTTTTGACGTCAGAAGTTAGAAGGTTAAGGGTCGATTTTCGTCCAGTCCTTTACTGCACATTAAGAATAGGCTACGTCAGGAAGTTGTCCCTGTGCCCTGCTCTCCACAGATTTCCCTAGTTGGGCAGCAGGAAATAGAGCACATGGAACTAGAGCTCGCTAGCCGAGAAGCATGTCCTGAGCGCTCAACCACTGCGGGAATTGGATCGTTAATCACCGGCGTGTTGGGTGCAGCCTTTGCTGGTGATGAAACTGAACGTCGAGAAATAAATTGGCAAGGCTTAAGAGTGAATGATTTGCACCAGTCCGGGTTATCTTCACTTTAAGCTAACTGCCGTAGACCGAGCGCAACTCGTA